TAAACGAGAGCTTTCGATTGATACCCATTTTCACCATAGCACCACTTTTTTGTCCGTACAAAGGCGATTTTACGGATATTTTACGAGTCTAGGGGGCTTTACGGGCCTTAAACGTCAATGCAACGGGGACCGTTTTGGGGAAAGTTTCTCGGCTGGTGGTGGGGCACCTGTGTGCCGATTTTGAACGAAATCGGGGGGGACCCCCCATTGACCCAAAATTTTGATTTTCCCGTAAAAACTCTCCTATGGGGAAAAAGTGAAATTTTCCTGCAGGACTGTGTCTGGGTAAACGAGAGCTTTCGATTGATACCCATTTTTACCATAGCACCACTTTTTTGTCCGTACAAAGGCGATTTTACGGATATTTTACGAGTCTAGGGGGCTTTACGGGCCTTAAACGTCAATGCAACGGGGACCGTTTTGGGGAAAGTTTCTCGGCTGGTGGTGGGACACCTGTGTGCCGATTTTGAACGAAATCGGGGGGGACCCCCCATTGACCCAAAATTTTGATTTTCCCGTAAAAACTCTCCTATGGGGAAAAAGTGAAATTTTCCTGCAGGACTGTGTCTGGGTAAACGAGAGCTTTCGATTGATACCCATTTTTACCATAGCACCACTTTTTTTGTCCGTACAAAGGCGATTTTACGGATATTTTACGAGTCTAGGGGGCTTTACGGGCCTTAAACGTCAATGCAACGGGGACCGTTTTGGGGAAAGTTTCTCGGCTTGTGGTGGGGCACCTTTGAGCCGATTTTGAACGAAATCGGGGGGGACCCCCATTGACCTAAAATTTTGATTTTCCCGTAAAAACTTTCCTATGGGGAAAAAGTGGAATTTTCCTGCAGGACTGTGTCTGGGTAAACGAGAGCTTTCGATTGATACCCATTTTTACCATAGCACCACTTTTTTGTCCGTACAAAGGCGATTTTACGGATATTTTACGAGTCTAGGGGGCTTTACGGGCCTTAAACGTCAATGCAACGGGGACCGTTTTGGGGAAAGTTTCTCGGCTGGTGGTGGGGCACCTGTGTGCCGATTTTGAACGAAATCGGGGGGGACCCTCCATTGACCCAAAATTTTGATTTTCCCGTAAAAACTCTCCTATGGGGAAAAAGTGGAATTTTCCTGCAGGACTGTGTCTGGGTAAACGAGAGCTTTCGATTGATACCCATTTTTACCATAGCACCACTTTTTTGTCCGTACAAAGGCGATTTTACGGATATTTTACGAGTCTAGGGGGCTTTACGGGCCTTAAACGTCAATGCAACGGGGACCGTTTTGGGGAAAGTTTCTCGGCTGGTGGTGGGGCACCTGTGTGCCGATTTTGAACGAAATCGGGGGGGACCCCCCATTGACCCAAAATTTTGATTTTCCCGTAAAAACTCTCCTATGGGGAAAAAGTGAAATTTTCCTGCAGGACTGTGTCTGGGTAAACGAGAGCTTTCGATTGATACCCATTTTTACCATAGCACCACTTTTTTGTCCGTACAAAGGCGATTTTACGGATATTTTACGAGTCTAGGGGGCTTTACGGGCCTTAAACGTCAATGCAACGGGGACCGTTTTGGGGAAAGTTTCTCGGCTGGTGGTGGGGCACCTGTGTGCCGATTTTGAACGAAATCGGGGGGGACCCCCCATTGACCCAAAATTTTGATTTTCCCGTAAAAACTTTCCTATGGGGAAAAAGTGGAATTTTCCTGCAGGACTGTGTCTGGGTAAACGAGAGCTTTCGATTAATACCCATTTTTACCATAGCACCACTTTTTTGTCCGTACAAAGGCGATTTTACGGATATTTTACGAGTCTAGGGGGCTTTACGGGCCTTAAACGTCAATGCAACGGGGACCGTTTTGGGGAAAGTTTCTCGGCTGGTGGTGGGGCACCTGTGTGCCGATTTTGAACGAAATCGGGGGGGACCCCCCATTGACCCAAAATTTTGATTCTCCCGTAAAAACTTTCCTATGGGGAAAAAGTGGAATTTTCCTGCAGGACTGTGTCTGGGTAAACGAGAGCTTTCGATTGATACCCATTTTTACCATAGCACCACTTTTTTGTCCGTACAAAGGCGATTTTACGGATATTTTACGAGTCTAGGGGGCTTTACGGGCCTTAAACGTCAATGCAACGGGGACCGTTTTGGGGAAAGTTTCTCGGCTGGTGGTGGGGCACCTGTGTGCCGATTTTGAACGAAATCGGGGGGACCCCCCATTGACCCAAAATTTTGATTTTCCCGTAAAAACTTTCCTATGGGGAAAAAGTGGAATTTTCCTGCAGGACTGTGTCTGGGTAAACGAGAGCTTTCGATTAATACCCATTTTTACCATAGCACCACTTTTTTGTCCGTACAAAGGCGATTTTACGGATATTTTACGAGTCTAGGGGGCTTTACGGGCCTTAAACGTCAATGCAACGGGGACCGTTTTGGGGAAAGTTTCTCGGCTGGTGGTGGGGCACCTGTGTGCCGATTTTGAACGAAATCGGGGGGGGACCCCCCATTGACCCAAAATTTTGATTTTCCCGTAAAAACTTTCCTATGGGGAAAAAGTGGAATTTTCCTGCAGGACTGTGTCTGGGTAAACGAGAGCTTTCGATTGATACCCATTTTTACCATAGCACCACTTTTTTGTCCGTACAAAGGCGATTTTACGGATATTTTACGAGTCTAGGGGGCTTTACGGGCCTTAAACGTCAATGCAACGGGGACCGTTTTGGGGAAAGTTTCTCGGCTGGTGGTGGGGCACCTGTGTGCCGATTTTGAACGAAATCGGGGGGGACCCCCCATTGACCCAAAATTTTGATTTTCCCGTAAAAACTCTCCTATGGGGAAAAAGTGAAATTTTCCTGCAGGACTGTGTCTGGGTAAACGAGAGCTTTCGATTGATACCCATTTTTACCATAGCACCACTTTTTTGTCCGTACAAAGGCGATTTTACGGATATTTTACGAGTCTAGGGGGCTTTACGGGCCTTAAACGTCAATGCAACGGGGACCGTTTTGGGGAAAGTTTCTCGGCTGGTGGTGGGGCACCTGTGTGCCGATTTTGAACGAAATCGGGGGGACCCCCCATTGACCCAAAATTTTGATTTTCCCGTAAAAACTTTCCTATGGGGAAAAAGTGGAATTTTCCTGCAGGACTGTGTCTGGGTAAACGAGAGCTTTCGATTGATACCCATTTTTACCATAGCACCACTTTTTTGTCAGTACAAAGGCGATTTTACGGATATTTTACGAGTCTAGGGGGCTTTACGGGCCTTAAACGTCAATGCAACGGGGACCGTTTTGGGGAAAGTTTCTCGGCTGGTGGTGGGGCACCTGTGTGCCGATTTTGAACGAAATCGGGGGGGACCCCCCATTGACCCAAAATTTTGATTTTCCCGTAAAAACTTTCCTATGGGGAAAAAGTGAAATTTTCCTGCAGGACTGTGTCTGGGTAAACGAGAGCTTTCGATTGATACCCATTTTTACCATAGCACCACTTTTTTGTCCGTACAAAGGCGATTTTACGGATATTTTACGAGTCTAGGGGGCTTTACGGGCCTTAAACGTCAATGCAACGGGGACCGTTTTGGGGAAAGTTTCTCGGCTGGTGGTGGGGCACCTGTGTGCCGATTTTGAACGAAATCGGGGGGGACCCCCCATTGACCCAAAATTTTGATTTTCCCGTAAAAACTTTCCTATGGGGAAAAAGTGGAATTTTCCTGCAGGACTGTGTCTGGGTAAACGAGAGCTTTCGATTGATATCCATTTTTACCATAGCACCACTTTTTTGTCCGTACAAAGGCGATTTTACGGATATTTTACGAGTCTAGGGGGCTTTACGGGCCTTAAACGTCAATGCAACGGGGACCGTTTTGGGGAAAGTTTCTCGGCTGGTGGTGGGGCACCTGTGTGCCGATTTTGAACGAAATCGGGGGGGACCCCCCATTGACCCAAAATTTTGATTTTCCCGTAAAAACTCTCCTATGGGGAAAAAGTGAAATTTTCCTGCAGGACTGTGTCTGGGTAAACGAGAGCTTTCGATTGATACCCATTTTTACCTCTTTGTGACGTCATTTCTAGGGGAAAACGGGTCATAAAGGTTTCCCTCTACCGGGGCCTTTTTTCCCCCTACCGAATCTGTGCTGTGCTGAATCTGTGCTGAATCTGTGCCAACTTCCGTTACATAGAATAAAGTGCCAATATTATTATGGGGAAAGGTAGCCTCAAGCTTCCTCTACAACCTTTTTATCTAGCGTTTTTCGATGCGGAGGCCATAACAGGTCCAAAAAGCATTGGGCGCTGCCCGAGGTACCAAAAGCCCCTTCATGAGAGCACTAGTTCCTGCGCATGCGCACATTGCCTCAACCCTGTACTGGCGTCAGATAGCGATACTGCTCACGGACGCGATCAGCCAATGAGCGTCCCTGATTACATTAATAGATGTCGCTAGCATCACGTAAATCCTGCTTGCGAACTCATTTAAAGAATGAAACAGCTGCGCCATTTTCGCCTTCCATAGATTCCTTCCATCTTAGTATCAACTATAGGCTTTTCAACTAACTTTATGCTAAGTTTTAAACTATGGTTAGTATGTTATTTCTGGTTCATATAATTTAAAAATAACTGCTTAATGAATTAGGCTTTACTCGTCAGAATAGAATACTCTATTTATTCCATAGTAAAAAAATATATCACCTTCCATGTAACTCATCCAGGTAAAATGGGCGCTTTCCGCGTCGTTGGTGTACCCGTTGTTCTATATACCCTGCATGGAGGGGCTTTTGCCGGTGCCTCGGGCAGCCCGCAGCGCCCAATGCTTTTTGGACCTGTTATGGCCTCCGCATCGAAAAACGCTAGATAGAAAGGTTGTAGAGGAAGCTTGAGGCTACCTTTTCCCACAATAATATTGGCACTTTATCTTTTAGCTTACGTATGGGGCTCGCCTGAAAAAGGTCGATTTAACATGGAAACCTTATGGGGTAGTAGTTTTTGAGCGCCCATCTGGCCTAATGCTACCAACTGTTATTGGCTACCTACGTCCGTCCGTGGTTTCAGGCCACACTTCCCAGACTTTTTTTTTCATAAAAACTGCAGTGGATCAACTTATTGTACATTGGTTTTGCACTGTGTGTAAAAAAAATTGTCACCTAAGGTAAGGGACAAGGGTAGGGGAGAGGGTAAATGTTCAGAAAGAGTGATTCACTTTTAATGCATAAATTTTGCACATTCTTATATTATTTGACATCTTGAATCCAGATAGCTGCTTATGTGTGGCACAAATATCAGAAAAAACAGTTAAACCTGACTTACCTTATGTTGCATATTTGTACTAACAGCGCCACAATTATAAATTGATCTTTTCTGAACGAATACCTGGCCCTGTTTCACCGCCCGACGCTGTGCGCGCTGGGAGCTGAGGCATACCCCTGATGTCACTCAAATTATGTAACTGCAATCCGTTAGCTTATGATGGATCGCGTTTGGAACAGAGGTCCTAAGGAACCAAGTACAGAGAGAACAGAGGTTTGAGTGATTGCTGCTAGCGTGCTGATGGTGCTGGCAATGGGGTGCTAGCACTTAACGATGACGTCATAGTGTAGCGTCAGAGTGGAGTTTGTTGATATTGCCATGGAAACTCAATGCACCGACACGTGCAGCGCTCTGCCGTGAAACACTGCCCTGAGCGCTGTTCGGTCCCAGTTTTTTTATCAGCAGGCGGTGTCTGTGAGCATGCTGCTACTTCTTGGCTCCTCATTGGTCGAATTCAAGTGGTCTATTCTATTCATTAGACCAATGAGAGGCTAAGGAGCGCCAGCAATAACTTCCGGATATGGGAAAACCGACAGCACGCAGATATAAAAACAGCGACCAAACAGAGCTCCTGGGCCCAATCTTACCAATGCCGTGAATAGGATTTGGCAGCACTGGCCTCAGCCTGAGTTTACGGCACTGATATCAAACATATCCTTTTTATTTACATCCACATAATCTTATCTAATGATTTTGATAGCGTGAATGATTATGAATGTTGCCTGAACGAATGAATAAGTGAATGTGGAATAGTTCTGAATGTTACCAAATGCCGTGAATGCGCATTCACGGCAATTGGTAAGATTGGGCCCTGGTGCTGCTCGGTCACAGTTTTTTATCAGCAGGCTCAGTTGGGCAAACTGCAGGGAGGTAATCTAAATCAGGGTTTGGTGTTTGTATATTTGTTCATGAACAGTTCGTGAACAATGTTTGTATGTTTGTTTATTTGATAGTTACCGAATTTTGGCATTCAAGGTCACATGTTCACCAACAATTCCTTGTTCATGAACAGTTTGTGATGAACAAGTCATCATTTCTGATATCTTTGGAGCAACTGTTATCATATGGTGGCGACATGACTGCAGACATGTTTTACATGTGAAAAATGCACCAGTCATATATCAAGCACATGAAATCATGATTCATAATTATTTTTGCAACGCTGAGGCTTAAATTGTACATTTAAGACCTTGCATGACATCATATACTTAAGACGCCACTAAGGTTGTTTGGTGCAGTAGGAGCTTTTCGCTAATAACTTCCGATCAAATTGAGCTAGCGAGTCGGTTGAGCCATCAATCGACTCAGAAAGAACTGCCACATCGAATGATATGCAGCATAACATCCTCCATGCAGCTTTGTGACCCGAGTGGCTTTGACCTGACCTTGACCTGAGGTCAACATACTAAAAAGACCTAATCCAAACAAATGCATATCATTCGACGCGCCTGGCCACGACGAGCACGATGGTGCCACAATTGCGGCTCTGCCACCATTTGTGGCGAAGTTATGTACCAAAAACCAAACCCCTACTTTATGGCACTTGACCTGACCTCGGCGGTCACCGGTTGGTGTAAGATCTTGAAATCGGATACCAGTCGCTGTGGTTTGTAAAGACGCACACGCTGGCTTTTTCCGCAAGGTTCTATCTCAATTAGGACCGAAATGGCTAAGGAGGGGTTCTTATCTACCCCCTCTTTACCGTGTTCGCGAACAGTTCATGAACGTTCGCGAACTGTTCTTTGTTTGTTTACCAAAATTTGACCGATGACGTCACTTGTTCGTGAACACATTTGTTCGTGAACAGTTTGTTTATGTTTGTTTATTTGAAAAATTAAACAAACACCAAAGCCTGATCTAAATATACATTAATCTAGATTTATATTATTCTATGCCCAATGCCCATATTTGGGCATTTGTGCAGCCCTCTGCAGAAACAGCTGTGTAGTGGCCAAGGAGTGACAGAATCACACCACTCATTTACAAAGCACAGTTAACATCTCATAATGCCTCTGAAACACCAGAACAGTGCTGAGAAAAAATTGGGGTTCCTGAAATATGATGGGAACAAATTCTAAATTAAGATAAAAATTCAGCTGCAATGGAAGATTAATCTATATTTAGGTAGATTATGTCGTCAGCAGTCTACTCTTATTTAGATTACACTATTAGCTGACTAATCTTAAATTAGATTACATTCAGGCTTCAGCTGGCCTAAACTAAACTAAGATTAGGGGAAGCCGGGGGAAGCCCGGGCGCGGGGGAAGCCCGGCCACCCCGTTTCCGGCTAAATTATTCACAATAAAATGCTCAACTGTTTGTCCTTTCAGCGTGGCAGCTAAGGTAACGCCAGCAAAAAAGTTAAGACTGACAAAAATTGCATATTGTTAAAGTTATAGCGCAAAAATGATATTTTAAGGGTTTTTAGCTAAAAAGTGAGATATGTTGCACTGTTAATGTTATACCATACAGTACTAATATTTATACGAATGTTATGTAAGGACCGTTTAAGTGTTTATAGTGAGGGGTGACGAGGCAGGCTGGCTTAAGTATGACATTTTTTTCGAATATCGCTGTTCTAAAATAAAAATTAGCACATTGGGGTAACCCCGGGCGAGTGGCCAAGCTTACCCCCAACCGAGAGCAATGCCACTAAACCACTGTTTCCATGAGATAATAGGTACTGAGCAGGTTTGGTTTACACCTAGATCAAAGATAAATTTCGAAAATAAACATGTTATCATAGACAAAGCCAGTCATGTCACGTAAGGTCAACTAGGGTCAAACTACGTTTTTGCAGATAACGCGACAGACAATGAAGCTAGAGCTTCAAAAATGGTGTCGTTGTGTTCTTCTTCATCAGCCGAGTCGATTGATATGCAATATGATGCATTAAGGTAAAAAGAAAAATAAATTTTAAGGAATTTTGAAATACACATTTTTTGTCAATTTTGCATCACGATTTTCATCGACCTGTACTGTACATGTAGTAGACGCTAGCTAAAATACCAGTTATGACATAAACTCTAAGATGTCCAGAGCTAATCAGTACCTTAATATTTCACTTTCCGTTAATATTTGGAAAACACATAATGGTTTCATCAACTCGTTGTAGGTAAAGCGCTGGGGAGGTGGCCGGCGTTACCCCTATGCCGGGCTTACCCCAGAAAAATCAGCACTTTTTTAAAACTCGATTTTCTCAACCTTATACTTATTCCACGAAACCGAATTTTTGGGAAAACACGGCCAATGAACTTAGCTAGCTAGCAGGATATCAACATTTTATACAGCACGTATGGTATGTAATAAAAATGAAAAAGAGCTTAGGGTAAGGTGCCTAATTAGCGACCCACTTAATTTGAACCGTCATTGCTCACGCTCTGTGGGTGCCACTGTGTTACTGGCTTGATTTTCGGAGAGATCGTTCATTTTTCTATTCAAATATAGTCATTTTCTGCCCCAATATTCACTGACTTATTTGTAGTGAGCATTTTGGCAAGCCATTGCAAAAAACGCTAATAGGGAACTCTTCCCGATTAGCGACCGGGGAGGGTCGCTAATAAGTCTATGGGTTTTCCCATATTAAAAATGGCAAAAAATGCGACGCCTGAAAAGATGAAATATGATCTCAAAAAGGTAACCTATACGCAAAGCACTTAATCGCTCGAACAGGAACGTTTATTCAACACATTTACGTAAGTAAAAACTGATCACGTGATGCACCGAAGGCGAAAAGAAGGCGGAAACCCTAATTTTGCGGGCTTTCTTGTATGATATTCGAGGTCCGCGCTGAATTCGGTACCCCTGCAGTCGGTGACGACATTTGGCATCCCCTGCCACACATTGTAAGCTTCAGCAACACCTCATTTTCATTTCTCTCTTTTCCCCTTTCTTTCCCCTCTTGAGCTATTTGCGACCATGTCAGGCGCAAATAGAAAATATGAGTTGCGACACATTTTTAACCGCCATGCTGTGCACAGTTGAGCGATTCACTATGGGAAAACGGCAATCAATTAAAAAAGGAATGTCGATTCAGAATAAAAAAGGTGCATCATCCTAATGTGCATCACTTTTCATCAGAGAGGGCCCAAACACACACATTTTGGATAAGAAATTCGTTATTTTTATTTAATCTCACCTGAAACGTCCCACCAGAAACATCGACAACCGGAAAATAATTTAATTTGATAACCAAAGTATGGCTCACCTTTTGACGATGTTTTTACCCCGTTTTCTCCTGCCAGCTTTTCTGTAGGGAGGTAGGTCGCAAATCGGAAAGGGTCGGTAATTAGGCACCTTACCCTACTATGCTGGGCTTCCCCCGGCTTCCCAATATCTAGCATCCGAGAGGGTATGTATAAAGTTTAAACCCTAGCATTAGAATATGGCAGAATGAGGCGCTGTAACGTCACGTCCTGTGCAGGGAAATAGCATGTAATTGGCAAAAAATGCCATTAGTGGTGAATGAATCTGACTTGTTTTGTGACAGAATATGCAAAACATTTCAATAAATAAACTGTGTGCCCTTTCACACCCCAATAGGCATTTGATGACCATTTTTTGGAATGGTGTCCCTTAATACCCCACATTGGGGTGCTAAGGGACAGTGATGAAAAAAAAGTATGTATATATTCTTAAAACTTTAAAGTAGCAGGCATGTTAAGTAGGTACCCAATTCCACATAAAATGCTGACAAGTTGATGCTTCTATCCCCCAACCCTTCTTGAGTTATATAACAAAACACCTCAAAACTGTCCCTTAACACCCCGTTTTACGGTAACCAAGAGTTCTGTGAGAGCAGCAACTGAAAGTCTCGAGCCCCGTTGGGGAGGGGGGGGGGGG